GGACCCCGCCGCTGGGTGCGCCCCGCCGGCGGCCTGCGAAGGGGGCCCCGCCGCGCCTGCTGGCCCGGACGAGCCCTGGCGCCCGCCCGAGGTCCCGGCTGTCCTAGGACGCTGCCTGCTCGGTCGGGCGCCCGTGTTGGTTGCGGACCCACTGTGTGCCAGGCGCCTTTGGGCGCTTGGCGCATGGCAGGGACAAAACGAAGATCGCCGTTTCGGGGAGCATCTAGCCCGGTGGGAGACAGCGCAGGACGGATTTCTGAGAAAGTTTTAGGACTCAGCGTGCAAATTCCAGCCCCGAGGGCCTCCGAGTGCAGTGTGCACAGCAGTGTTGGGCGAGGGGCGCGGGGTCGCGGCCACTGCAGAGCGTCCCGTTCTCTCCAGAATAACTTAGTAGTGCGCAGCATGGTGGGAGGTGGTGGGGAAACCCAGGGTTCCCTGCCGTCGTGTTCACGTTGATGGCAGGAGCAGTCATTAACGAAATAAACCACGAAATAATGAGGAAGGTGACTGTGACCAGTGCTACAAGAAGAGAAGTGGATTTGAATAGGAGGAGATCTGGGAAGCTTCCTTCCTTTCTTCTTTTCTTTGTTTTGGGGAATCAAACTCGTGACCTCACGCTTGCCAGGCAGGCACTGTGCCACTGAGCTGTCACCCCAGCCTTGGGAAGCTTTCTTTGAAAACTCATTACCAGGGATTCATAACCAAAGGTAAAAGTAAGTGCTAATTAGGGAAAGCCCGGGCCTCGCAAAAACCCTATGAGACACATAGGGTTGCTTCTGTTTTAGAGTTGAAGATACCGAGACCTCAGCAAGGTTACTGCGAGTTACGTGGTAACCCAGAATCCAGACTGAGGTAAGCACAGGGTCTGTTGTGCACCCCATGGACTACTTGGTGGGTCTGGGGAGGGGAGGTGTTAGGGCACAAGGGCACTAAGAAATGCTCTCCCCGAAGTTGGAAGCCTGCAGCGCTCAGGCAGGTTCCTGAGTCCAGAGAAGAGAAGGTAGAACAGAGGGCCTGGTGGAGACACGGTAGTTCCAGCTTGTTTCATGGAGGAATATGGACAGTGATGTTCCAGATCTTCCGATTGTTTAATAATTTGAAAATACACTTATCTTTCTTCCCCACTGGAAAGTTAGCTTAATGGGAGTAAGAAAAAAAAAAAAAAAATGTGTGCCCAGAACTTAGAGCAGTGCTTCTGGCATAATAGACAGTCAACCAACCTCATTTATGCAGAGTCGGAGCCTTCCCTTCTTGGCTTGTGACAGGTTTTGAGGCTTTTTAAAATGTGTGTTTTCCTACTTTTTTCCACCATCCTCACTACTGGGTTCTTATTTGCTTCTTACAAACTGCTGCATAAAGGAACTTCCTAAGGAAGTGTTAGGTGTGTCTTCCCGCCCGCTTCATGTTGTACTTCCTAGTCATCCTGAAGTGCCTGCTGTCTGTCACATCTTGGCTCCCTTTATGTATCTATCCTTTTTTATGTTTAAACGTTGCTTTTTGGTTTTCATTCTGACCTAAAACATTTATGTATTATTTTTACAGTACCAGGGATTGAACTCAGGACCTTGTGATTGCCAGGCAGGCCTGTATGCCACTGAGCTATCTCCTTGGCCCTTGACCTAAAATTTTAGTGACTTGATATTGGACCCATCCCCCCAACCAGGCGTTCTGCTGTTAATCTGAGCCCCAGCTTCTTGGAGCAGGATCATAAGATTTTCAGGGATTGTTGTCAGTTTTGGTGGCGTCTAAGTAACATATACTGATTTCTATATATATTAGTGGGAAAATTTTCTTTTGGTACCAGGGATTGAACTCATGACCTTGCATTTGCCAGGCAGGTGCATATGCCACTGAGCTACCTCCCCAGCCCTTAGTGGGACACTTCAAACATTAAAAAATACAGTTAACTCCTGTTCCTGACCTTCAGCGTAAAGGTCAGGAATTAGTGACTTGAATTAGTGACTTAAAGGAATTAGTGACTTGTGGCCAGTCTTGTCTTCCCTGTAACCCTCCCCATACTCCTGGCCACAGATTCTTTTGGAGCAAATCCTGAGCATCATATTTAGCTGTCAGAATGCATTAAGCATAGCTTCAGTGTCGTCATCAATCCCCCTCAGTGCTTCAGTAATTCTTTAATTAGAAAAGAGCTTATTTGGTTGAGGGATGGCATGCAAGGCAAAGGTCAGGGGTGCAGGGCGGGCAAAGAGACCCACCCAGTCCTCTGTGACAGGGAATCTGTACAGATCAATAAGCGCAGCAGGTCAGGATATTATCCCCGGAGATGATTCAAACCCAGAGGCGCCATCTTCCTAGGGTCCCCAGAAGAGCATGCATTGTTTTGGTTAAACATCTGTTAGCACAGCTGTCCTTTGTCCTTTTACAGGGAGCCCTAGAGCAACATGGCCTTGACGTTCCTCTGTCCATGGTGCTGACACAATCCACCTCTGGCGACCAAATCCAACGACTAACCTGGTCTGGGGATTTGTTGTAGGATTATCATAAAAGTGAACATATGCTATGTGTTAAATATTTGCACCAAGTGCTATCTATACCTGTGCTACATTAAACAAAAACCCCAAAACTTAAGTGGAGCATTTTTCTAATACCAGTTACTTCTTAAGCTTTGAAAGTCCCGTTAATTTCTTGAAGAACTGCAAAATGGAAGTGCACAGATTGTGTATGTGTGAAGCAGTATCTACTTTACATATAGTTTCTTCACCAAGCTATAAATCAGTGCAATGATTTTTCATTTCTCATATTAAAAGTCACAGGCTCACTTATAATAGGTTGCCATCAGAATGCATGTTAAAAATCCCAGTTCTCTTGGCCCCACAGAGTGATGCAATAATGGAGAATACTCAGCTCTGTTCTGTGTGTGTGTGTGTGTTTGTGTGTGTGTTGCTGTGGATCAAACCCAAGACCTCATGCACGCTAGGTCACCAGTGCACTGCCAAATTACACCTTTAGCTCTCACGTGTTTATTAATATGAATATATAGCACTGTACTCAACTTTTTGTTGCTCATTTCTTCAGAAAGTACTGTGCTAGATATCAGTGGTTTAAATAGACACATGACTTAATGTTTTTATTTATTTAAATATTAGCAATATTAACAGTACAATGGCGAAAGTTCACCAGCATTCTCGTACATTAGAGTGCAGGTGGTAGAGGTGTGCATGTAGGTCTGTGACAACACAGTGTGACAGTCCCTCTAGCTATCAGAAGTAGTTCTTTAGAGGGAACCTTGGAGGATACTTAGTGGAAGGGAAAAGAGAAAAATGTTCCAAATGCGTGGTGTAAGTGATACTTCTGTGTAGTGGTCTGAGGTTGAGTGCATTGAGAACTTAGCCTGAGGGAAGGACGTGGTGGACAGTGAAGCTGTGCGCACAGATTAGAGGGAGCACGGGCTTCCTGCACGGGTTGGACGTACGCTGAAGGCGATGAAAGCATGTTCATTGCCACAGGAGGACAAGGGCCATCTGTCTCTGGGAAAAAAGTTCTTCCCGTGTGAACTCTCAGGGTAGAGTCATTATGGAAATACTGTGCTGAGAGGGCTTTTGAAGTAGATGAGATTTGAGTAAGATAATTGCTGGGGCCCATTGACTTATTCACCCACCCATCACATTCATCTAAAGAAGCTGATTCTACTTCCGGTCCGTTACGGAGTGCTTACTCTTGTCTGTACAGCACTTATCTTTTATGGAGACTGGAGAAAGACACATAGGAGAAGCAAATGTACGGGTGAGCATGAGAAGTTCAGTTGTGGTAAATGCTGAGAAGCAATCAGGGTGATGACACACGTCGTAAGTGGACAGTGGTTACCTTAGAAAGTTCGATGAGCAAGGTTTTCTAAGGTTTGATTTTTGAGCTGAAGTCTGAGGCTGTTAAGGAGCCACATGTCTGGAGAGTTGGTGGAAGAACATTCCTGGAAGGGAAAATAATAGGCGGAAGACTGTGACCTATCCTGCGATTTGAAGAGAGTTCACCAGGGCTGGAGCAGAATGAACAGGAGGAGAAACAGGTCTGCAGTACATGCCATGGCTGGGTGATGGCTGGACCAGGTGGACACAAGCCTCAGGCAGGGGCTGGTAGCGGAGTCTACAAAGGGGGACATAAA